TGCAAAACACATAAGTATGCAGTAGACAAGTAGACGAAACTGTAAAGTGCAAGATATAACTACTAAAACTCGAAACACAAAACTAAGCAATAAACTGAAATATGAAATTCAATGAAAGGTACAATAACTTACTCATCTTACTTAGCATCATCTGAAGAGTGACTGGAGAATGTAGTCATAATCTCTTCTTCAAACACATCAACAGAGTTGTGCTGATCACCGAGATTAATTTCAAAGAGGGTCGTAACAGAGGCGGGGGTGGCATGAAAGTGGTGTAATTTTGCCAGATGGGCAACTTGACTACATTGTCTCAATTTCAACACCTCTTGCTTGATTTCAAAGTGCCAATTAATATTCCTTTAGCCGTCACCACCTTTTCACCGTCTTTTAATCATTCTCCCTCCATGAAAAAGATTCTGCCACTTTCGTCCCCTCCATGTCTAGATGTCCTACTTTGGTGTTCTCGTTCGACCTGCTTCCCCTTTGGTGCTCTTTAGCCTCACCACTGTAAGTTCTTCTTCTCGTTTCTTATAACTTTTCTCTTTTATTTTTCTTCTACTAATTTATTCTCCTGCACTAATTCTTCTTCTACTACTTTATTCTTCACATTTCTTCTTCTCCTTCTTCTTCACAATCTTTTATTATATTCTTCTTCCTTTTCTTCTTCTTCTTCATCACTTTCTTTTTCTTCATCATTTTCGTCTTCCTCTTCTTTTTCTACAGATCAACAAACTTTTTTCATCTATTTCTTTTTCTTCTTCTCCTCATGATTAACACACTACCAAGGTCTTCATCAACTTCTTTTCTTCTATTCTTTGTCTTCTCCTTCTTCTTCTCTTCTCACAAATACACATTTGATATATTCATGTATGATTATGTGATGTTTATCTTACATATTTTTTGATGTAAATTTAATATAATCTCCATGTGATTCTTTTCATGTTTACCAATGTAATATTCATGTATTTTTTTTATTGTGTTTTATTTTATTTACATGTGTTTCCTTCTCTGTAAATTATCATGTATAATTTATATGTGTTTCTTTCTCTGTAAATCACTGTGTAATTTATTTATTAAAAATATATTTACTTTAAAGATTATATAATTATCCTATCATTATCTTTAGGAATAACTACATCTTCAATCCATTATAGATATAGTCTACTGCCACGAAAATAAATTTATTTCTTAAAGAATTGAGAAAGGAACACATAAAATCCACTCCCAAAATATCAAAAATCTCAAATGTTAGTATATAATTAAGGGGCATTTGATCTCTTCTTTTAAAATTGTCTACTCTTGACATTTATCATATTTTATAGCAAATTCATTCACATTCTTAAATAATGTTGGCCAATAGAATTTAGATTGTAATATCTTAAATGATCTTCCATTTCTTGTAATGCCCCTCATATTTTTCTTCATGATATTGCCTAATAATACTATCAATTTTTTCTAAATTCACACACCTCTAAGAATTTTATCTTCACTTTTTTGAAATAGATATGGATCATCCCAATAATAAAACTTAGATTCATGCATACATTTCCTCCTTTGATGGTAGGTCAACCCATATGACAAAACATCACTCATAAGAAATTTCATAATATCAACATACCATGACACAAAAAAATAAATAAAGAAACTAAGTATGTATTCATTAGAAATGCTCTCATTGATCTCAAAATATTCTACGTTATGTTGTCAAGATTCAATCTAGATAAGTAATATGCTACCTACGTTTTGGATCATTTTTATAAATAATCTTTATATCAAATTCTTGTACCAAGAGAATTCAATATATAAATCAAGGTTTTGCATCTTTCATTGCAAAAAGGAATTTACTAGTTATAATCTGTATAAAGTATCACTTTAGTTCCAATCATATAGGATCTACTAAAGTAAGCAAATGCAAAAAAATAGGGCTAATGATTCATTCTCAATAGTAGCATAATTAACCCGAGTATTGTTCAAGGTCCTAGCATAGTAAACATGAAAAATTTTGTTTCTCATCTACCTCAACACAGATCCAACAATATAATAACTTCACAAATGAGCTCAATAGAATAAGTTCAATCTAGGGATACCATAATAGATATAACAACTATTTGACATTTTAGAGTATCAAAAGATTCTAGGCATTCATTAGAAACATCCTTTCTACTAAATGGCATAAAGGCTTAGTTATCTGTAAGAAGTTTTTAATGAATCTTCTATAAAATTCTATGTGGCTTAGAGAACTCCTAACTCCTCTTACTGAAATAGTAGTGGAAGATTTTCTATAACTTAAATTTTTTACTTTATCTGATGCCAAAGTATTCTTAAATATCTTATGTCCTAGAATGATCCCTTCAATCACCATAAATTGCCACCTTTTCAATTTAATATAATATTAATCTCCACATATATCTTTAAAACTAAAGCTAAGTGATGATGACAACTATTAAAACTATTGTTTATTTTTTCAAGAAAATCTCAATACCCTTTCCAATTAAATCTAAAAAAACTGACATTATACATCTTTGAAATGTAACAAGAACATTGAAAATACCAAATATCATCATCCTGAATGCAAATGTGTCATAAAGACAAGTGGAAGTTGTCTTATTTTGATCCTCATGAGCTATAAAAATCTGATGATATCTTGAATAATTCTCTCTTCAAAGGTCTGGGTGTAAATTCTAAGTAAAGAGCATGGTGTTCCTTCATATCTCTTCTATATTTTCAATAATCAAAATTACTCTGAAGGGTCAATTTCCACAACATCTAACCTAAAAATTTGATCGCTAGGGTCATTAAAGAATTGCATAAATTTTAAAACATTAAAACTCACTTTTTGAATTTGTGTCATTATTATTAATTCCTCTATTTGAACATCAATCATAGTCATTTTTAGTACAAAAGGAGTCTCCCAAGGATATAGATATCTCTTTGTCCTCATTCATATCTAATATAATGATATCAATAGGGATGACGAATTTATCTACCTTTATAAGTACACTATTTATCACTCCTCTAGGATGAATCAAAGATCTATTAATTAACTACAGGGTAATCGTGGTTGGTTGTATCTTTCCAAATCCTAAACTCCTAAATATACACAAGGACATAAGATTGACACTATTTCCTAAGTCACTCAAAGATTTTTCAAAGAACATACCTTCTATAATGGAAGGAATTATAAAACTACTAAACTCTTCCAACTTTTGTTGTAATTTTCTTTGGATATTAGAGCCGCACTCTTCACTTAAGGCTATAGTTCAAACTCTCCTAGCTTATATTTTTTAATTAATTTTTTGTTCATGAATTTAATGCAGTTAAACATCTATTCAAGAGCTTTTACAAAAAAAGAACAGAACATTAATTGTGAGCTTCGTAAATAACTCAAAAAATCTAGAAATTTACTTCTCTAAGTTGTATTTTTTTGAGTCTCTTGGGATAAGGTGATGGTGGTCATTCTTCAAACTTCCTAATTTGTTTATCCTTTCTTTTATCTTCTACATAATGGCTCATTGATTTTTCAAGTCATTAGGGATTTTTCTAAAATTTAGATACAAGTTCAGATTCAAGTTTAGGTACAAAAGTAATCTCACTGATCATGTTATCTCTACTCACTTTACATAAGACATTTATGTCATGCATCGATAACTTTTTAAGGTTAACACTCTAAAGGTCACTGAAAAGTTTTAGTTTTCATTTTTTAAATTAACGTGCATGTCTCATGATATTAAAAACCTCAACTACAATATCTATAATTCACCTCAAATATTCAACCAACCCATTATTAATATTCATATAATAAGTCAATCAGGTTAGGCATGTCGTGAGCATTTTCTTAGTAAATCATTAAACCACTCCTATGACTCATAAATGGATTTGTTATCTGACTGAGTGAAGAGTGATATCATTCATAGATTTAACAATCTTAGATGGTGGGAAGTACTTGGGTAAAATGTTTGAGCTAAATCAGTCCAAGTAGTTATGGATTCTAGAGGAAATGAGTTCAACCACATTGTTGCCTCGTCGCTCAAGGAAAATGAAAAGAACCTAATCCTAACAAAATTATCAAAGACACTGTTATACATGAGTGTTACAAGATATCTAAGAAAAAACAATATGTAAGTTTAGTTCTTCTACTGAAGAGCTCTAAACTTACTATTTTGGATCATATGGATAATTGCAGGTTTGAGTTCAAAGTTATTACCAAGGATTGACAATCTATTTATATATTGGTGAGGTGCACTATCAAGTTTTTTGTGCAACAATCAACAATAAATATTAAAAATCAATTACTAGTAGTGAATAAACACTTAGCAAGGTAAACTAATGACTAGTCACCTAACATAGACAAAATAGAAAAACTATAGTGTTACAATGCTAGTGGTAGCGCTGCGGTGCTAGCACAAAAATCAGCCAAATATTTTTTTAATGAGAGCAACTACAGAAGATAATCATACAACATAGCAATACAATTTAAAAGTAATTTATAGCAAATAATGCATAAACAACAAAAACATGAAAATTTGAATTAAAAAGGAGTCCATTCCACTAATGTTAGCTTTTCAAATCAAATTCACAATCAAAATCCTCAACTATGATGCCAAAAACTTAATCCTGCCACTACACAATTCATGCAAATGCATGTGTCACTTAAATAATGTAAATAGATTGAATCAAAGATTTTTCCACAGTAATTGATTTAGAAATTATTAAGAAATCAAAATTTACTAGTTTCCAAAACTCAAAATGATATTTAAATAACAAAAAAATATTTATATTTTAATAAAAAAATACTGTAACCAAATATTAAGTTCAAAATAAACCTCAGGATTTAAAAATTTACAATTTTAATTTTAAAATTAACAAAATATTTTTTCTAAGTGACTGCTAAAGTTTAGTTGATGTATGCCAACTCTCTCAAACACAATTACTAAATTCCAATTGGAAATCAAGACTACCTATACCTCAACCTTTGAAAGAAATTTTAAGTAAGTCCATGGCCACTATAAATTCCTGAATAAATTTGAAAAAGTAGTAAAAGCATAACTTCAATCAAAACTCAACTAAAATTCATAACTAAAGAAAACTTTAAAATAATTTCATAAATCCAAAGAAAAATTCACTTAGCATATCATGACTAAAATTTTTTGAATGTAAATTCCCACATCAACACAAAGACTTCTTTCAATTCCTTGCCTTGTTCCATTCTTTGTTTGTCTTGCACCCTCATTTGTTCTTTTAAGCTAAGGTTGGGCAACAATGCTGCAATTGATTTCTTCATTACTGCATAGATAATTACCTATGAGTTTTCCTGCACAAAAATTCATAAAACAATATAATATTTGAAGAAAAATATGAAAATATCATTTATTTATATAAGCAATGATTTCTACCTCCCACCGGAGAGAACTTTGTCATTTATAAGTTTGAAAACTGCTCAAGATTGGGTTTCCAACAAGACTAATTATGAGAGACTCAATGGTCACAATGAGAAAAGAGAGAGTTATGGAATATTATGAAGATTAGATTTATAATGCTTTGATTAGTAGTGCGTGTATCAACCATAACAATATTAAATTCCTTGCAACAATTTGCATGGAAGTATTTGTATGTGTAGGAGGAACATGCAACCACCATTACTAAGGAAGCAAAATTAAATCATATGCAGCAATTGTAGGTATCCATTATGATGTTCCAGTAATTATAGTTCTTAATTTCTTTCAAATTTTTATTTAAATATCACAACAATCATTTGTTGTTATTGATTTAAAAATTAAGCCAAATTAATTTTATGAAATAGTCAAAACTTCCTCCCTCCATCTAATAGCTAGTTAAGTGTTTTATAATTTTAAGGTTTTGGATTTCAAATGAAATTAGATAATGCAACAAATCGAATGAAAAAAAGCACATTTGAACTTCAAAATTTAAAGATCTTTAGTTAAATTAAGAATCCTTTTTTTTCTTTGAACTTGAATTTACAACTTCAAAGATTATCAAAATGAAGTAAGAAGTCAAATTTAAAACCATTAAAACCTAAAATTATAATTGCAATTGAAATGCCTGTTGTAAATTAAATTCAGCTCACAAAATCATTAGGTGATAGCCTTATAAAGAGCTTAATGGAGAAGATAAACATAGTTGAAGTTTGAGACTTGAAAACCTATGGTTTAGTGCATATAGACATCTTCAACAAGAATTTCTCCATAGAGAAAGGCTTTGAGATCCATTTATGTAGGGATATATTCTTTAGAAAATTTTGTTTAAAGGTACTATAGAGGAAGATTAAAAACCGTTCAATCTCAAAAGAACTCTTGCTATTGCGCGTTGAGTTTAGTTGGTTTTTCCCTTTTCTTCTCGAGAGATAAGCTTAAGCTGCATGAAAAAGACGAGGCAATCAAACTTTTGCCTTATGGTTTCAGGAGAAGGAAAGATTTGAATCAACCATTGACTCCCTTGAGAGAGCGTGGAATGCAAGAATTGGACCAGTCAATCAATCCAATATCTTTTTGGAAACCTATGACTTAAGCGCCCGAGTCTATAGAAAGGAACGACTGGTATAAGTGCTAAAGAGTGAGAAATTGTTGTTTTGCTCCGCACCTATACAACGTACTTTCCGCTGCGTCCCCGGTACGTAACTCGCTTTTGATGAACGTGGGCTTACTTTCGAAGAGTGGTTAGGACGTAGCCTTCTACTATTCTCAAGGGTTGAACCCAAGAACTTATGCTCTGAGAGAGAAGTGGAAACCTTCTTGGTTCTAGTTATATCATACTATCACATTCTAATAAATGTATTTAGTGATTTTCTGAAATTATTCAAAAATATTTATTTTAATTGAATTGGTTTCTTTTTCTATTTTGGATAAATTTTCACTACCATTTTGTATGAAATATAACAATATAAATAACAGCTCAAAAAACCACCTTCATTTCATTGATGACGGGCTCATATAAAGCCTTACAAGTTACGACATTTACAAACAGAACTTTAAATTAGCTACAAATCTCAACACTCCCTCACAAGATGGACAAAAGATATTCAATAAACCTGTCTTGTTACATAACCTAGACAAATCTAACGAGCTAAGTCCTTTGGTAAGGCAGTCAGCCACTTGCTCTCCAGTGGCTACATGACTTAGCTCTAGTAATTTGTTATTCAGCTTTTCCTTAATGACGAACCTATCAATCTCCACATGCTTGGTTCTATCATGTTGTATCAAGTTGTTGACAATGTTGATCGCAGACTTGTTGTCGCACCATAACTTCATTTGAGCTCCTTGGTCCACCTTGAGCTCCACCAACAATGCTCTCGACCATATCATCTCGGCAACTCATAAGGCCATGGCCTTATATTCTACCTCTATTGTTGATCTCGTTATTACAGACAATTTCTTGCTTTTCCTAGAGACCCTACGAACATGCAGTGTTCACATGTGGACCTCCTATCATCAACACAACTTGCCCATTCAGTCACAATAGCCCTCAATGACTTTAGGTACCTCAGAATTTGATACACTGCGTCCATATGACCCTTCTTTGAATCATGCATACAGTGGCTCACCAGGTTCATTACAAATGAGATGTCACCACACGTGTGACTTAGATAGATGAGATGACTCACCTATCTTTTGTATCTCTCACGATCAACTGCCTCTCTTGCTTTTGCACTAAGCTTGTCCTTTTGATCAGCTGGAGAGACTGCAAGCTTGCATCCCAGCATGATTGTCTTTGTGAGGAGATCCAATACATACTTTCTTTATGATAAAACCATTAACTCTAGTCCACGGGCCATCTCAATCCCAAGAAAATATTTGAGTTGTCAAAGATCCTTTATCTCAAACTTATTACTCAATCTTACATTTAGTTGAGTAATCTCTGTCTCATCATCATCAGTGATAATCATATCATCAACATACACAGCAAAACATAGTGATGCGACCACCATTTTGACGAAAGAACAACACATAGTAGGGATTCATTTGTTGATATCTCATGCCCGTCATAGTTTTTATAAACTTATCAAACCAGGCTCGAAGAGACTGCTTCAAGTTATAAGGCAACTTCCTGCGTGTGCACGCCTTGCCCACTATTTCATCTGTACAGAATCTTGGAGGTATTTCCATATACAACACTTTCAATAACTCACCATGAAGAAAAACATTCTTCACATCGAGTTGGTGTAACCTTCACCCACTATTCACAATAAGAGAAACCAGTGTCCTCGCTATGTTCATCTTTGCTACCGATGCAAATGTCTCGTCAGAGTCAATATCATACGTTTGACTGTACCTTTTGTCAACAATAGTGCCTTGTAACACTCCACATTTTCTTCAAGATTTTCATTTGTTGTGAAGATCTACTTGCACCCAACATCTCTTTTTCCCGTTGGCAACGGTACTATCTCCCACATTATGTTCTTATCAAGAGCACCAAGTTCTTCCAACATGGCAGCCTTCCACATTTGATCCTCCTTAGCTACATGCCAACACTTCGGTATAGAAACAATATCCAAAGATACAATGATTGCTCCATGTACAGGCAATCTATTAGGTTATGAGACAAACTGAGCAATGTCATGAGAGAAACTAAAACAATCAAGAGAATAAAGATTAGGAGAACGACCCGCATCCTTCTTAAAGCCATGGGAGTGGGAGAAGAAGGGAAAGGAATCATATCACATGGGTAATCAGATTTTGAAGTGGTGGTGTAGGTGTCTCAAGAGTCCAGCTAGAACGAGAGAAGAGACTTGATGGCCCGAGTGGCAAAACAGATACTGCTCCCTCAGATATAATGGGAAATGAAAATATGACACTAAATAGGGTGCAATGGAGAAAAATGATTCATATAGCCGACCCCACGTAGTGGGATCAAGGCTTTGTTGTTGTTGTTGTGATTTTCTTATTTTCTTTAATTTTTTACTTATTTATTCATTTTTTATTAATGAGAGCCCACTCGTCCGTAGTCTCCATGAGTTGGTTGAAACCTTACATTTATAAAATTCTGATAATTTAATTAAATTTTTGCTCATTTGCTCCAAGTAACAACCATTGGATAATCCTTTTTATGGGAAAGAAAGATCGTCAACTAATGTAATTATTTAAATGTTTTGAAAGGTTCTGGTAAACAAAAAGCCAGAAGAAAGCCACGGGTTACTCTTTCATGACATTTCACAGTAGTGAAGTTTCTCATTTCTGTTTAAACATATTGTTCAATATGGGGTCGGCTATGAAATTCTCATTCTTCAAATCTTTTGTTGTTAACTTCTATCTATATTCTCTTTATACGAATTCAAAACACAAAAATTTAGTTTCCGCTGTCTTTTCTTGAAATAAAATATTATTTACATAGACCATATGATATATTTATTCATTGATCTATACTTTATGTGACACATCCATGTAAATATTCTCAATTTTCTCACTCCACCTAACAATTAGCACTACTTGTACTTCTCAATACTGGATCAGTTCAACTTCATACATATATATATATATATATATATATATATATA